GTGGTGTGGTCGAGGGCTCGATTGTGGCATCGCCTGGGGCAGGTTGAGATGACAACGACTCGACAAGCGCTGTATCGTAGTCTACCCGTCCCTCGGCGGCCTTCAGCACTTCTGTCAACGGCCTTAATTGTGGTAGGCTTTGGTTGATATCTCCTGATAATATCTTTGCTACGCCTAACGTCATGCCATAAAACCTCTCATTCTCATCTCTGCGCTCCTGGATGACCGTGCCTTCTAATTTGACTTCGGAGAATTGCCCTTTCGCCTTTACGTACGTGATGGCAGCGTCGCTTAAATCCGTCCATGTGACGTCGTTCTCAAGTAGACCTAATGATACCAGTGGGCCGGGAGTTAGGACAACATCCGTACCAAGCGTCAGCTTCGGCCGTGCAAACGCTTCCAGAACCGTGAAGTTGTTGATAATTAAGATGCAGTCGTAGATATCCACGCCAATGACGAAGCCTAGACTCGGCGTTTGCAGGACCAGACCAGACGGCGGAGACCAGGTGCCATCGGTTTTCCGTGCTATTAAGACGCCACTGCCTCCCGAGCCCGAGGTCCATAGCCCCGATCGCATTGATGTGAAAATAGCCAGTCCGACGGCATTTTGGACTAACCTAGGCGGGATCTTCTTCAATACCTTGGTCGACGATTGTGTGCTCGAATGTGTCAAAGGGCTTCCGGGTCGCTCGTCGGGTGTCGAGAAACCATCATCTGTTGGGCGATGTTAGTAGGCTATTAGCTAAAGCTGTCCCGAGGCCCTGCCATTCTCGGCTGTGCAGGGTGCCGAACGTACTGCAAAAGGATTTCAATATGCGAGCAGCCTTTTCGCATTCTTTGTCGAGCGTCGTGGGCCAGAACGCCTCCTTGGCTAGTCGGGAAGAGCGGGACGACGGTATTTTGTCGGCCCAGCCGCGTACCCGCTCGACGCTGTTCTTGCGGGTGTGGGTGCTGGTGTAACTACTGGCGCTCGATCTATTGCGATCCCAACTTGGGAGCAGGGACGAAACACGCTGCATTGCTGTCGGGCGGGTTCGCCGGTACGGGCACGACGAGCAGCGGCCGCTCTGCTAGCGACGGAGGGTTGTACAGCAGAACGACGAAGCAAACCGCTAGCTCTTGGTATCGCCGGAGAATTGCTGGTTGGCCCTGGGGTCAGGGAATTCCATCCAGAAACTTAATTTGGGCCGACCCGGCTAGAATTGGAGGGGAAGGGAGACAGACGTGAATGAATTACTATGTGGTGTAGGCACGACAACCAATGTATAATGAATGGTAAGTGGTCTGTCTGTCTGTCTGTCTGTCTGTCTAAGTGGTCGAGATAGATAGATAGCAAGTCACTGGTATAGCAAGGTTGCTTCCTTCCTCCTGCGACCCTGCGACCTTGCGATCATGAGACGGACCATTGACTGTTCGGCCTTGATCAGAGGGGAACAGAAAGCTGGAAGGGTACGTAAGGATGGAGTGCAGATCGTCGGCTGCAGGTCAAAAGTGACGTTTTTGGGACCTTGGGGCCTTGCTAGGCCCGCGGGCAAACTACTGCCTGTGTACGCGACTGTACGGCGCTGTACCTGCCTAGCCCAGGCGCAGCCGTAGTGGAGATAGGTAGTGCTAGTGTAGTGTACCTAAGGGGGGTAGTGTAGGAGCTGGAGAGGCCAGGCGCACCCCTGCTCCGGTTACAGCGCACTACTGTGCCTGGGTTACATCCAGCATGCTGCACGAGGAAGTACCTCCCTGACCCAACGAACGAACCGTGGGTAAAGTGTACATGCCGGGTAGTGGTAAGTTGGTAACCAGTAGTCTCCTGATAGTTACTGGTGATCATGAGGGAAGTTCAGCAGGAGGGCCCTACCTAACATTAAACATTAAGTGGAATTATCTTGAACGGCAGCTGCTCGGAAGCTATGTGAAAGTCTTTATTAGTGGAGGAAACTATAAGCGAACTAAGGCAATAAGGCAGGATACCTCACTGCAGCTGGGAGCTGATGGTTTGTGTAGCCATCATAATAAACATGCCTGGCAAGCTGAGTGAGTAGTGGGTAGACTTTGAAATGTTTAGTTTGCACAACAATCCATCGGTACACAATACGGGGCAGATAGTCAAGTAGCCTTGGCACTTGGGGGGTAATAACACACGATGGTTGCTTCATCCACCAAACCCCCTTTTTCGTTCTCTTTTGGGATGATTTTGGGGCGGAGAGGGGCGCGGTCGTTCCTTGGAAATTCAGGAACATCTCGTCGCTCTGCATTAGGCGGTAATACAGTCCTGTATAGGAATAAAGTCGCGGTATAATAGACCAGAGTATATGTAGGGAATCCCCGGTCAGAGCAAAAGAAGGTAGGCTATCGGAGGATAAGATCACGAACCGTCACAATACACTCGAAATAGGCAATCATTTTCTCTCCAGCCAACTACGTAATTTTCCGTCTTGTTTGCTTTTCAATAGTATCTTTTCGGTCAGGCTGAGTTCCCATCTACCCAGTAGATTACTTATATCACCTATATAACAGCCACAAACAGATAAAAGATGTGCTGTGCTGTATGTCTCATCTTACCTTATTTTGTTGTCGTTAGAGACAAAGGTGAGACCATTTATTAGGGACTAACATCTTCTATTGTAGTAGCTGATATGATAATCTTCAGTAGAACCAGTAGAAGATAGAAGCAATAACTGACGAAAAAAGAAATCTTTAGTGATGGAAAGTGATATGTAACTTACTCGAGATCTCGAAGATGCATTCGACGGAATATGCCTACACTAAGTCACCACTAAGTAATAGTAGCTCAAACACACCCCCTGCAGCCGGCGCCACCGACGGAGCCAATTCAAAACACTCATTCGTAGTCTCGAGAGGCTACAATTCATCTAGATCTTTGCAGAATCTCTATCATTCCAGGCTAACTAACCAATACTTATTACCGTATGTTCCGGGATTGAGGGGGGAAAAACTTGACACCTCGCCACGACCTCGGTAGACCGAATTCGCATGACTCGGTCTGCCTGTATGTCCGTATGTCTGTATGTCGTGTGTAGTTACGTGCGCCCGGTTACCATGACAAACCGTAAGAAAAAATTAGCATCCCTGCCCCTGCGGCTTGGAGCCGAAACTGCCGGATCGACATGTTAAGACGGGATTCTAATTGAATCGTCTCCTCTAGACCTCAATTCACGATCTATATAATATACCTCCTTATGCTACGTAGAATTATCTTATGTACACAATAATAAGACTACACATTAGAGTATTCGCAAACAGCTATGAGGTGTATAGCAAAAGATGGAGGTGGGAGAAATAAGGCTCGAGTTAGCCAAGCCTGCTTAATACCTCTCTCTGCAACGCTGCCTGTAGTAATCTATACATACATAGGGTCCGATACCACCGTGAATTAACCCCTTATATACTTATATAGCATATTGGGGGCTGCTGCCGAGGGCAGCGGCGGCGGTGAGCAAAAGGCCCCTCGAATGCAACAATAAAGCATAGAAAGTGTATACCGATTGCTTATTACTACAGAAGATATGCAGATTAGTAGATACAGATCACACATCTTTCACGGACATCCCAGTCAGAATCACCACTGCCTGCCTGCCTATCGCTATCACATTTACTATCCGGACTGGCTATTTCTATTATTGGTACTAAGGAGGCGATGAGGATTCGAAAAGCAAAAAAAAAAAAAGGAACCGAGTGCATCATCGAAACGAAACAACAAGCCCAGCCCCAGAGACCCACCAAATTAGCTACCAAGATTGACCCTCTTGTCTGATCAGCCACTATCCACGGTGTTGGGAATTTCAATAAGACGAAACGGACTATACAAGTATAGTAGATTAAGTAGGCAGGTCCTTAATATTTTTTTATTTATTTTACCTGCAGCGCTTGAGACAAGGCTATCCCGACCAGCGATCCCAAAAATTATACTTGTAGTACGTACTGTATGTAGGATGACTAGTAAGTCCTGTTCCATCAACGATTTCAATTTGTTATCGCGAGGAGGCCGCCTCGAACTCGACTTACTCTATCTGCCGGGCAGTGCAACTCTGATACCTACTTAATTATTCTTTCCTGACCGCCGCTGTCCGTTCGCAATCAATCAATTATGCAAACGATGCTGTCAGTCATCATCGGGGATTACCAATCTCTGCTCGAACTGATTATTACCGTTGCTATCATTGTGTTGTAGAGTGTAGCATTCCGGTCTCTCAAGGCCATCGCGTACCATGGATGACATCCAGAACAAACCCACCTGTCCGTCCAAACAGATGATTTTTCCGTCGCTGCGTGCGCAATCAGCTGATAACATAAACAAGATTGGTACGGTCGACTGCCACCCCCCCTCCATTTCAGCAGGCGAATGCCCGGGTCTCTTACATAGGTGGTACACGTCCAAGCCTGCTGGACGGTCGCTAAACATGCATGCGGTGTATGTATGTATTTAAATAGCTATGTAGGTCGCTCATATCTCACAACATAGAGATAGCCGGAATGCGTATCTGACAGATACTCTACCTACCTACATATATACATACACAGGTAGATGTAAGTAGATTGGCTTAGCCTCGTTGCCGGCGTACAATACGCCAGCACTTCGTAAAAGGTGTGGTGGATCATGATCACTTACATACAGTATGCTGTACTTACTTTAGTTAGCATTCCACTACGCCCTATGCTACTGGGTAGGTATGCACCGCCCGCATCGTGGGTCTGACCTTCGATGCAATGTTTACGCATGTCTCATTACATTACTGTTCTCTAACACGGCCTTCAAACCTAACCTAACCTATACGCGGGCCTATGCGCGTACCAATGTGAGACCCGCCTTCGTTTGACAGATACCTACAGGGCAACTAAATGGCCTACCCAACGGTGTGAAAAAAAAAAAAAAAAAAAGAACAAATGAGTTGGGTCCAAACAAGCGCCAAAGACTAGACACCAAAAAATTCAGACAGTACATTAATCCCATTCATTAAAATAGGTGCAAAAATTAAAACGTTCATCGACAACGACAGGACTCGAACCTGTGACCCCGAAGGGATATTCTCTATAGTTTCTAGTCATACGCTTTAACCACTCAGCCACGTTGCCTTGGAATTTTGCCCGTCATTAGTAGCCTATGATGGACGTGTAGGGAAGCGGGGTTGGCATTGGACATCGCCCATAGGTGAGCAGTGACATGTAAATACGTAGGGAATGCCGCCATGTTTAAGCCCGCCCAATTGATCCAGGCCAGTTTTTCCCACGTGCGACCGGGGATCCAGACTCGACTCGCTACGTAAGTATGTAAGTAGAGTAACGGGGAAATGTCTCTGGCGGCGGCGGTGGCGGCGGACAGGACAGGAGTGGAATGGAATGGGGGCGCAAATGCCACAGTTCAGCCATCGCGTCATCAAGGACATTTTCCGCCCGCCAATCTCGTGATTCGAACCCTGCTTTGTTTTTTGTGTTGCGTGAGCGTTGGCGTTGGCGTTGGTTGTCTCAGACCTACGGTCAACAAGAACGAACATGTGACTAGTAAAAATCTCACCCCATACATTACCGTACTAGCTAAGTAATTGTTATATTCCTACGAAAGACCCAACGCTGTTGAGCCGCACTAGAAAGAACCCAGCTTATCTCACCGCCCACCGGTGAGATTTTGGGAGAGGGCTGGCTGGCTGGGTCCTGGGTCCCATTCGGAGAATACCGATTTGTAGGTATCTAGACAGGTGAGTGAGATTGGGAGGGGCACGTTGCAAAGGCGGAGATCTGATGAAAGACGGATAGGACAGGACAGTTGTCATCGTAAACATTGTTCGTTGGGAACCAATTACGTTCGTCGTTGAATGCTAGATCTCTAATGCGATAGGCCAAGGTGTTCAAATTTCATAAGCTTTCCCCCTCCCTCTCCCTCAATACGGAGCATCTAGTCAGCCTGTTGTGTCTGTGTCTCCTTCCCCCGTGTTGGTCGCCAACCAAATGCTAGTGTAATGCAACCGTACGATTCTCCCAACAAAAAAAATAATATGCAAGAAACAAAACAATGAGGGAGAGACTAGATAGACTAGACGGCTGCCGAGCTCTTCCGTCTTTTTCCTCGCTCGGAGCCAAGCCAAATGAACATTCTGATCCCCGAAGAAACGCCGCGATAAAAATCCGTTACCCAATCCATCCCTGAGGAAGTTTCGTGCAATGTTGTCTATAAGATGGAGTCGATCAAAGAGGCCGTAAATCATTTGTAAATAGTTGCCTCCGATTACGTCCGGCGTGGAGACAAGGCGTGCTTCGTTAACATGTTGTTGTTGTTGTTGTTGCTGATCTCTTTTTCGTGTCCGGGAGAAAATAAAAATAAAAAAATAACAAATAACAATATCGAAACGCCGGTTCTTGGGCACACCAACGTGCGCCTAGTGATGCAAGGGTTGCCTCGTGATACACAAAGTCGAAGAAGGATGGGTGAGCTATGCTGTGCAGTGCTGACAAGCAAACGTGTGCGTGATCCAATTTAATTACAATCCAAGTCCTAAGCGTTCCCATGTAGCGGTGAGCGATAAGTCGTAGGCGGTGGAGGCGATTTCATCCCACGATATGGGTCAATCAATCAGTCAAATCCATCAATCGGTCATCTTGTTGCACTAACGCGCTCCAAACCGGGTATGCACCACCACGGAGAACATACTCCTCGAAAGGCTGGCAGCTGATGGTCCTCCGAGACGACCGGACCCATCGGGGTTTAGCGACAGGTTCCCAATTCTCGTCGGTGAGAGGGTAGAAGTTGTACGTTTCGTGCGAGGGCAAGTCCTGGTGCTCGCATTCAAATATGCCCTCAAGGTGCATGCGTTCCAGCTTCGGCAGCTTCGTCCGTAGACCTGTGAATAGCGATCGGAATGTTCCCTCGTACAGATGGATGCCTCCATGCGATGCCTCAAATGGCTTCGCTAGCCCACGACCGCCTAGTCGCAGCCGAGCCAAGGTGCTGCCGTGTCGGGCCAGGAACTCCTTAAGATCTTCCTCGTCGCATGATACGCCTTCCAGTATCAGGTCTGTGAGTCGTGTGTACGTAAAACCAAAAAGCAGCGCTCCAAACGACAGGGCAAACTTGGAGTGTTCGCTCGAGTACGGATGGAATGCAAGTTTCAGATGTGATACGTTGCTAGCAAGCTGCAGTATGCGACCTAGGCCATTCACAGCCCTGAACGCAGAAGACGGTCCTTGGAGTCCAGAGGGATCGAGAGTCAGATTGAGGCTCGTTAGACTGCTAAACGATTGAGCATGCTCAAACCAGTGCTGCCGATGGTTTGATAGCCGAAAAACCTCGAGTGGCAGTCGGTCGACCTTGAACGAAGAGAGTTTCACTCCATGCAGAGCGAACATGACTGCATCGAGGTTCTGGTACGTTTCCTGTCGGTCCAGCTTCCGGCAGTTGGGCCAGTAGAAGGCCTCCTGGATGAACTTGTTGTTGATCGTGGACGGGCATTGCGCGAACGAAACCTCCAGGTCACGAAGATTGGGCAGGGCGGAGCAGGCCTCGCGGAGATCGTCAGCCCGCAAATGGAGGGGGCCGACCTTCTTACGTCCTGATGCAATGCTGTCGAATTCCACTCGAGCCTGTGACATCAACTCGGCACGTTCCTCTGGCGGTGCTACGAAATGCTGGGCCCTACTTAAGTTTATATTAGCTAGGCTCTAGATAGATGGACAGTTGGATAGATAGATCTCGATTAAAAATAAAAACGACGTGAAAAGAAGGATTCGGATCCCGGGGTATATCATCCAACGTCAATTCCCGAGAACCAACAATTACCCCAGCGGGGGAGGGAATGTAGTGCTGCAATCCGCTGCACGGCAGTTAAAGTCAAAGGAATGGAGATTAGATATCCTTACCATGAAGTACTCCATGCATCGTAATACGACAATTGTCCCAGGAAAATGTTGATTGACTGGATGTTGCCCCGGAGGCGTTCGTGCAGTGCGATATTGTGTAGCCGATCGATGTCATTGCGCCAATTGAGCGAGGTGAAGTGCGGTGATATCAAGTACTCGTATCCGACATCTGCGAGTGTTGGACTCACGGCGCGCAAGTTGGGGACGGACTCGAGATCGCAGTACGAGTAGATGAGCCGGAGGAGCTCAACGGGGAGGGTATCCATGGGAAAAGCGAAGAAAAAAACAAAAACAAAAACAGAACAAGGAGAAGTGAAATGCTCTGTTCTGTTCTGTTTTGTATTTTCTTGCTGACTGGCGGGCAGGCAGGGAGAAAAGAAAAATACAAAAACAAAAGACCGAAAAAGGCGGGATGGAGAAATATTACTATGCCTATGCGTACAGTACTGCTGGCTGCAGGTTGCTGCAAAAACCGCCAGAAAAGAACTCCGCCAGATGACGATGAGAGGGACCCCCGGGTCGACTAAGCACAGAAAAACGCCGGTACGGGAAACGGGAAGCCCGGTAGTCTAAAGCAGCAGCAGCAGCGATATATATAATGTATATATAAAGAGAGAAAAAGCTTCAGGCTTTGGTCCTTTTATATATATCTATATATATATACATACGTATGTATATGTATTTTTTTTCTCCCGTGTGAATGGATGAATGATTGGAAGTGTAAAACGAGGAAAACAATGTATCAGACCCTTTCCAAGCGACAGGCAGAAGGGATCATGCAGCGTACTTAACGAGAAGAGGCGGAGAGGCGTTCATTTGCGCTGCGGTGCGTTTCTGCAGCAAGCCTCTCCGATTTAGGCAAAGGGGGCCAGACGCGACCAAAGTATCGGTGAGAGTGAGACACACGTAGACAAGCAAGGGCCTGGGTTTATCTTACGGGCAGCAGCAGAGCCGGACGGAAAAAGGGCATTTTCTCGTGGAATGACTGGCGGGCGAGCCGGGTCCTGACTACGACTAACTACCTATTACTTTGGCAAACCTGGCGGGCTGGCTGGCTTTGCACGGGCTTGCTTGCAACTTGGCCTGCCTGAACGTGAATGGTCCGACTGGACTGGCTGCTGGCCTGACTGGCTGGGTTAGCTGGGTTGGCTGGGTCCTGGCGGGATGGGATGGGATGGATGGAGATCTGACTACCTGTCCCAGCCTGAGCCTGACAAGTTATGACAGGCGACCACGAAAGCCAGAGATCAGATAGACTCAGTCAAAGTAGCGGTATGGTGGCGGTAAGTGTCACACCTGCAGGAGAGCCCATGTATAAACCATGTAAACCATGTCAACCATGTACGGAATAATACACCCATGTCTGTCGGTCGGGTGGGTGGTGTACAGTAGGTATCTCTCTGCCTGCCAGGTATGCTGTATGCTGTATGCCATCTGCGTACTATGCTCCCTATCAGGACTAACCTAGGTACCAATTGCCAATACACCCTTGCCGTGCCCTTGTCCCAAAGCAGACGTTACGGTGAAGGAAAAGTCCTGCACAGTTCGCCACACGCGGGCCTGCTACTGTGGCCTGCCTGCCTGCCACTTCGTAGTACCTGCATTAGCATTAGATTCCACGAGGCAGCTTGACACTGTGATTTCTCGGTGAGCTAGTTAACTAGCTGCGACGAGGAAAAAAAAAAAAAAGCTGCAACGTCCCTGCGAGCAGATCACTGTGATTCGCCTGCGTCATGCTGGGGCGCCAAGGGTAACCTAGGTTAGTTTGTTGCGCCAGCCCGCCAGCAGAGACGGTTTATCTAGAACTCTTCCTTACACTGCACCACGCTTCACCACACTAGACGACACTAGCTACCTGTGCGTACATGCTAGGGGAGCTCGGGTGGCTCCCCGAATCGCTACCCAACCGGAAGGATTGGTAAAAAGGACGGAGGAGAAAAAAAAAAGAGGAAGAAGAAAAAAATTCTCGAAGGTGAGACGTGGATTAGATGGATAGGTGGGTAGGCTAGGTGAATAAGGTATCTTTACCTTAGCTAAGTACCTACATGACGCATGCTTGCTGTCTACACGCAGCCGACAACTCGGTATGCATTCCTATTTACTCAGCCAGACATCCTTTCCGGGAGTTTGGTTTGGACCTAAGGTACCTAGTTACTGGGACGGGTTTTGCGGTGGGTATAATGCATGGTATCCCGAAAGAAATTTCACGCTTCTTCATTCTTATA